ATGCCATGGACAGACAGATGAAGCCTTCACTGACTGAATCCGACTTTATTCCATGTCAAACTGACCTCTTTAAAAGATGGCTTGAAAGGGTCAAATGTATTCCAATAGCTAGAAAAAGAGAAAGTGTTACAGACTGCAGTGGAAAAATGCTATTTTTCTTTATTCGCTGTAGAGTGTGGTTAAGATGTCAGCATTGATTGGCTTGGCTTATTGGTCCGAAAGTAAAGGAAAGGTTTGGACAAATGATTGCTTCAGTGGGACACCACCTAGCCAACCCTAGTACACACACATCTGTTGCTTTTCCAGTAACAAATGGCTGGAAGCAGATTAAACCTAGAGCTATTGATATTTATATTCCTCCATCTTACGCTGTCATGATCTTCAAAGCTTGTGAGGCAGAAGCAAGAGCCTCTAGCTCTATTGTGACCTTGAACTGTGTCTCTACAGTGTGTACAGTAGGGATTTACTGAGGCGTGAGGTGCTTGCAGATTCACTCCACACAGTCTGAGTGACCGAGTGTTCAGTAATCAGACATTTGTGCACCATCAGACTAAGAAGCTTAACTGTAAGAGAACGTGCAACAACTAAGAGCAGCGATACAGTAAAATGACGCCATCCTTGACCTATGAACCCTTGTAGCTCACAGAGCTAAAATGTGTTACACTGTACAGTACAGTAGTCACCCTGTTTAAAACTTAACAGACAGTAGGCAGTATTTGCTGCAGAGATATTGCATTGGATTACATTACACTACAATGTTCTTCTAGACAGGCAACTGGCAGTCTTGTGTAGGCCTATCCTCTAAAGTTAGTATAAAATCAGTATTTTTCAAAGAATTATAATTCCTCCAAATTAGATGGATTTAAATGAATGAAGGAAGCTGTCAGGTGCGAAAGACACAGATGCAGAATTGTTAAAAGGTAAAATACAGCCGGTCTGCAGGGCCGTGTCTCACAAGAGTCATTATAGCAGAGGTGGCAACCCAACTTGCTGGGCTAAAGCAGATTGAGTGCCCTTGTTGTGCGATTAACCAGCAGCTAAGCACTCAATAGGTAAACAAAGGTATTAGGCACCAATCAGGCCAGAACTAGGTAAATACATCCTTCTCACATCTGTTTGGGTCACAGGTGAACCAATGAAATCACATGTCATCCGCTGGCATCAACAGAACTAACAGCTCTGAAGCAGGATTACATGAGTTTATTAAAATGACTTGACCAATTTTGAGTTAAAACTGCAATTATCAATATTTTTATATTATAAGTTGAATCTTAAGGATACATGTCTGTGAAAAGGGTCGCTTGTAGTGACGAATCAGCAGACAAACTTTACTGTTCCCCTATAGTCTTTCAGCCCATAGCTCACGTTTTATGGCCCACAGCTTTACTGTCTGGATCACTCTCACTCCTAGGGATGTTTTCAGCTGCAGCAGGCACAATAAAAACAACCCCATCCTACCTGCCCAGCGCTAAATGTCATACAGGCAAAGTTAGGGACTAGCTAATCTAAATTAACAGATATCTGCATATGAATGAAGAATATGTAGGCAAGGGACAAGAGTTTTGGGATCGGAAGTGACCTGGTTTCTGTATGTAGCCGGTTTGTATTCCAAGTAGTATTGAACCAATCACATTTGAGTGGGCTTTGGTTGCATGCAGGTAAACAGTCCGTTTGGAGAACAAAAGAGGTGAAACGCATTGGCCAAAACGCAACCTCGGAACCCTAAAGATTAGCTTTTTATATCATGCATACATATCGTTGTCAAACGCTAGCCAATTGGTTCTGAGGTTGCTAATTGGATTGTAAACAATGGCCAATGCACGCAAGTCTTGGCCCGGATATCCATGCCAGAGGCTAAATTATCATCAGGCATTTGAGGACTAGCTGGTGTACTGCTGGAGTACATAACAGCTTAATGGAAAACAAACCAGAGCTAAAATAAAAGTGGAATTACATTCTTCAGGTGGCCAAAAACACAACTCCAAATGGATACAAATGTTGCTTTGTGTCTGCTGAATGAATCAATAAACAATTGTTTGCTAACAGGTTTGCCAGATCAACTGAAAGGGATATGTCAAGTATTATTAGTAGGAAAAATAGTAGTAAAAATCTTTCTTTGTTCTCAGCATGGTATGTTTTCTTTTTTGTGGTGCAAGCAGTCATTATCCACCTCCGATCTGACTCATTCGTTGACTGAGAACTGGGGTTCTGTAACTTGTGTAAAGTTGTCGTCATCGGTGGTAAGCAGATACAGTAACAATAGATTTCATGACAGTTTTGGGTAAATTTGCACATCCGAGATTTACTAATGAGCGTGAAACAATCTTCATGTTACTCCCAAAACTTTGTGAGGTCTTGAGCCTCCTCTTGTCTGTCTAGAATTTTATGTGCTGAAAGCCTTTGCCATCCTATTTTACTGTAATTCCAAGTGAGTGTAAGTGCACGCTATTATGGAGCATTCATGGTTGCGTTAACTGGATTGAGAGATTATTGCAGACTACATTTAATGAGGCCACTGAACTGCTATAAAACAATGGCTTTAAATATACCCAGCATCCACACGGAGACATGACAGTTCTGTTTGTGTTGTATTGATAATATTACACCTCATCCTGGGGCTAAAAAAAAAAAAAAAAAAAAATGACACCTCTGATCCGTCAAATGATGGAAAAGCAAGCCCAGCTCTCACCACTTAAAGCTCTGCCTGCGAGCTAAGGCATTACTTTTCCAGAAAATAAGCGAAACAAAGCCATCTATTTTTATCTTACCAGGAGCAGAATAAACAAGTTACGCAAAAGAAACTTTTCATTTTGTAGTACAAGCAGTTACGTAATGAGACGAAAGGCAGCGGTCCATGTTACTCTCAGAATCAAATTTTACATAGCGTACATTGTTGATGGCGAACTGCCAATTACCAACCAGGCAACCCACACACTTTTATCTGGGTGACATCACAACACCACTTCTCTTTTGCTGCTGACTGCCTGTGTTTCTGTCTATGGCAGCAATGTGACACACAGCGAGGACATCCCAATATCATAACGCATGAAATAATCTCAGGGAAGCCTGTTTTAATCAAGTATTTAGTTAAAGGACGTGGCGTCGAATTACACCCTATTGTCCTTACAAAGCAATTCTTTACACCTGAACAGGACTCTATGGAGGATTAAGGACACCTTGGAGCTCTGTTATGACACTTAAGCGATTAAAAAAGCTGATCTCAGTTCAAAGTAGTGAATGTCACTTAAAAATAGAAAGACAAAAAAAATAAATAAAGGCTAAAACCAGACCCTCGATCATATTTTGCAGGACACTTTAATGAGTAAACTCACTCATCCTTGCCTTGCTGTTTTACTCTCCATTACTCATGTCCACACACACACACACACACACACACACACGCCTGCTAAATTGCCAATTAGATCTCAAAATAACACTCGTGTCTTGAAATACATGCGTCCCCAAAGTGTTGAAGCGCGATTGAAAAAGGGTGTTTGGATCATTATATTCTAATAATATTTGTGCCTTTCTGGTTCTATTAACCCTGTAGACCTAGACGACATAATAAAAGCAGATTATTCCACAACCTATATTTAGTAAAATAATTGCTTTAGACTGTAATTTTGGACACCTTTAATTCATTTTTTGTTAATATTTAATATGTTTTCAAAGCAGGGTGCTGAAAGATGCAAGAGAGAGGAGACACTCAATCTGCTGTAAGCGTTGTAGGGGATGAGACATGATGGTGGGGTTTGATCGACTCATCTGTCTCACACTACCCCCCCATCAAAAGTTGTTTTTCAACACACACACACAGGTTCTGTTGGCCTTAGTACCCAGAATCCATTGCAGCTCAAGGTCACCTGAGTCTTCTCTGGTACTCAGCCTGTGCACATCGCTTCTCCCTCTTTTCATGCGCATAAGCCCTAATTAGTGTGGCAGAAATTGGACCTACAGAAAAATAAGTATTTTCATGCTTGCTTTTAAAATGACTTCAGTCTCTAATTTTAGCATTTTGGTTTTACACGCACCATATCAAATTACTTCCTCGAGAGTTTTCCCCCTACATTGTGTAACCTGCAGTTTAAATATCCTTTATGTACTTAGAATAAATCCCGATTTAATTAAAGCTTTTACAATAGAACTTCCTCAAAATTTCATTTCCATTTCATGTCACAAAGAAACCTAAATCCGTTCAGATAATCTCTACACCAGTATCAAATTGCACTGTAGTGTCTTTCGCCCTCAATTGTCATTGAGGGGACAAATGTTATGTGATGTATTATTTCTACTTTTATCTATGGAGTATTCACTGTTTAAAATATTGCACTAAATGACTGTACATTAATAAACTCCTTCGACAACCGTAGCAATTCTGAAGCCATTTACTGTCTGTGGTTCACTTCATGCTGCGTGTAGTTTACTTTTATGCAACAATTTAAATACAGCGTTTACAGTATATGGGAAATCTTTAACTGGGAAAAAAATTGCTCGTGAGATTTTCCAAGGGATTTGTTTGTCAGACTGGGACGCAATTTGTAGAGCTTAACCCAGTATTACACATTTGACTGCATTTTATTAATCCCACAGTGGAATACTGTATGCCGGCTCTGTGCAGCATTGCTTGAACCACGTCAATGGACAATGGTCAGTTTAATTATTGAAAATACTACACACTAAAGGGGTTTCTGTTAGGTTGATGAGAACATAAAAGATGCTTGAAATAAAAAAGCCACACACAAATCGGTTGCATTTTTGTCTCAAATTAAACAACCAAGTAAGTCTTCATTCATCAGCTGTGTAAAAGGATGAGTGTGTGTGTGTTCTGATGCCAAAGGAGACATTGAAGGTAATTTCTATCAACCAAAATGCTAAAACAAATTACTGCACACCTAATGTAACTTCCTCATAGTCTGACTTTTCATATAAAATTGTATTCACAGGAGACAACGGTGAAGTAAAGTGGGAGAAAAAGAATACGGATCAAGAAACCATCTCACCTTGGGCTGTACTTCCACTTCTACCACTTGGTTCTTGTTCATGCAACCCTTGATGAAGCCCTCAACTGTGCTATTGAACTTCATGAAGATCACGTAGGCAGCGTAGCCTGAGAGCAGTGTGACACTTTCCCAAATGGAGATGATGTTATCCAGGAAGAAGATGATGAGCAAGATCAGATCCATGATGTAGAAGGAGACGTCGCGGAAGAGTGGCCACCACGTCAGGTTGAGGATCTCCTTGGAGAAGATGGCGCACATCCCGATCACGAAGAGGATGTTGAAGACAGCTGAGCCTACAATGGTCCCGATGCCCACATTGCTGTGTGAGATGAAGACGCCGATGATGGAGGTGAAGAGCTCCGGTGCTGAGCCGCCTGCCGCCATGAAGGTTGCACCTGCTACGTCATCCGAAATGCTCAGCTTCTCCGTGATGACTGTCAGCGCTGGGACAAAGAACTCATCACACACTATGGCTAAGGCGATGAACATGTAGATCATGCCAAACATGTGGAGGACCACTGCGCCTTGGCGCCTCTCCTCAAGGGTGAAAATGTCTGGAGGGTAATCCCCCTGGCTCTCGTTGCTGTCTGCTGTAGATTTCATGGCTATTGGCATGTCAGCTGACACATTGGGGTCCCCCTGGTGTTGGGTGAAAAGAAGAGTCCTGTGGGGGGCCAACTGGTGGAGACTCTCCTGGGGGAGCACTGGCTCATTGAGACCCCCTGAGCTCCAGGTCAAGGCACTGAAGGAAACGACACTTAAGGCCACCAAGCTGAAGACGAACCCTAAGATTCGCACTGGCCTCAGCCTTTTCCGCAGACACCGGTGGCCCTGCCGCTTACAGGCAGCGCCCAACGTGGGCCTAAGCTCTGGTGAATCCATGCAGGGTTGATCTGAACCCATGTCTGTGCAGCTCGTGGTATGCTCACTCTCAAAGGCTATGTAGGAAGTGGGGAGAGTGGAGAACAGGGTTTTTACCGCAGACAACGCATGGTGTTGTCTTCAGTTTCAAATTAGTTGAATAGATTGTAGGTGCTTTCCAGGGTCTGGTTTGCCAATTGATGTCTTCATATTAGCCTCTGTTGGACAATGTCAAGAGAATGAAGAGAAAAAAATATTACTGAGCTGGGAAAGAAACTCAAGAGTGTCAAATGAACAACAAAATACCATCAAATTAAAAAGGCTGTTTGGAAATTGAGTACACAAAGTGTATTTTAAAGATCTGTCTTTGTTGCATCACTACAGAAACATACTGACATGAAACTGACAAAGTTACAACAGAGAGGATTAATGGATTACTTAGTAACGTCAGTCTTTGTCAATTTTGATGTAAAACATTAATTAATTAATTAATACAGACTTGTAATGTGTGATTGACAATTGTTTTTTCTTTAGCCTATAGGAACTTCAAATAAATAACTGAATAAACAATGGCTAGATTAACCAGTAATCAATGTCGCTGTACAAAAAGTCAGCTGCATATCAGGATCTACCCTGACTACTGGCAAAAAAAGAGCTACATTTACAAATTAAACAGGAAATTCCCAGTTACAATGTAGTGCAGACACGTGGAATCCGCTTAAAATGCATATTTGATTGAGTTTTAAAATCATCCCATGGTCTCAGTTTTGTTATTCACAGATCTCTGACATAAATCTATATAATTAAGACGAAATGCACATATTCTGCAATAAATCAAGAATGTATAACATCTTACATTTAAACATTTACGTCCATTGTGGTCATTTTGTGGCCTTAAGACTTACATTAGCAAGGCCTATTAAGTGATTTTAAATTCAATCAAACCACAAGATGCAGCAACAGACTTTAGAACTTAGGCTATATGGGCCGATTTTTTGCCGGTTTAACAATTTTAATTTAAAATTGAGACAACCTGCAGTCAAAAATCGGGAACCTGCTGTTTTTACCTGTGAAAATATCACGAAATTTGAAGGCCGGCGGTTTACGGACATCACTTGGCTGCAGTCAGTGAAAACTGTAAACGCAATGACGCTGCTGCTCAGGTAAAAGCAGATTAAAAAACCACACACATCCTGTCCTGTTTGACTTTTCAATGATGCACAGCCTGCTGCCTTTAGCTGAACGGCGTGTGTCTGCGATGCCCGTTCCACTGACAACTCTTTTCCCTGTCTGCCCTTCAATAATGCCTTCGTCCTTTCAGCTGTACCACCACACAACCAACAGCTAACCATCATCCCCCGAACAAAAACAGCCCAACATTAGTTTCCGTGGCGAGGTGCATGATGCGCGGAGAGGCTGCAGACGGTGTCATGCCTTACCTTTGACAGAGGCGAGAAAACAGCCGCACGGAACGGCAGCAGGTTGAAATTAGGAAATCCTCTCCGGTGCCCTCTCGCTCTCATTGAGCAAAATGTGACCGGTCCCCGCTCTCCGACGACAGAGGAGGAGCTTAGGACTGGGGGTGGTGGTGGAGGGGTGGGATGCTTTTCCAACTGCGCTCACCTCTCTCCCTCACAGCAGCAGCAGCATCTCTCCAGTCTCGGATGAGAGGGGGTGGGGGGGGGGGTGAAATCGCCCGGTCGAAAATACCTTGCTATTGTAGCAGAATATTGTGCTGGGCTGGGCTGACCACGTGAACCGGTTGGTTTATTAATAAAGCCAGGTAAGCGGCAGAAAGCGGATTCTTTCCTGCTGGGTTCAAGCGGTGGGGGCTGTGGTGATGTTGTATTTTGAGGGAGGAGTTGCCGTGGTTACATAAGTAAAGGCAGTATTTTCACTGATTTGTATTTTTTATTGTATGATTCCTCTCAGGACGGAACAGGTGGATACGCTTGTCCAGTCCAGTTGCTAATGTATGTGTAGCTTAGCCTTAGGTCATTTCAAGGTTGTAGACTATGCAAGTGATGGATCCCTTTCTCAGAGACAACGCTGTCATGGTGAAGCTCAAGGTGCCGCATCACTGATTTAACATAGCCTAATTATACTTCTTACTCTAGATTAGCCTATAGGCCTATTTCTTTTTTCCCTTTTTTACTTTTTACATTTAGGGAAATTCGCATATTTGCGATCTTGCCAAGAGTTTGATTGATTGATCACTTTCACTCTCATGAAGGCCTAGATGTTCAATAAGAAGCTGTAGCCAGCAGCTGGTTAGCGTAGGAGGACTGGATACAGGGGCTAGTCTGAAAGTTGACTGTCTGAAAGTAACAAAGTCTGTCCACCAGCACTTCTACACTAATTATATTTCGTTTTTAATTCCATACAATAACCTAACTGTAAAACAAAAATGCGGTGGTTTGTGGGTGGGGGGGTGGGGGGATGGGGGTTAGGCCTACAAGCTATGTGTGACTGTTTCTTTGTGGGTTGCAGTGACTTCCTGGAGTCTACCACTTAATTTTCACACTTTGGTTTTTGTAGGCAACAAATGAAACAAACAAAGATAGGCCTATAGCGAGTGAATTAGTGAGCTTTAGAGGTAGTGTTGTAGATGGATTTTGTCAGCATTTGACGAGCCAGGCTAGCCATTTCAGAATCAGAATCAGCTTTATTTGCCAGGTATGTGTACACATACAAGGAATTTGACTCTGGATTGAACAGTGCTCCCGATGTGCTTACTAATACAATAATACACCATAATACAGTAATAAAATCAAACACAGGATAGAGAGACAGTACAGAGAACACATATATACACACTATAAACAGAACAGACAGATTGAGACAATAGTGCAATTTCCCCCTGTTTCCAGTCTTTATGCTAAGCTAAACTAACAGGCTGATGACTCCAAGCTTCGCAGTGAACGTTTCACAGTTTCTCAGCAGGAAAGCAAAACCTTTTAATATTTTTTATTTATTTAGAAAAATGGTTCCCATACCAACTGCACTGTAAAAAGTTGTTCAGTGCTATTGTCCTTATAACTTAATTTTAAAAACTTATTTTTCTTTCTTTGTTTTTTGAGTTTTCAAAAAGAGCCGGATAATACTTCACGTACCTCATAAGTAAGTAACTCTTTGTATTGTTAAAAGTGAGATTTTACCCTAATTAACGTCTTTGTGCTGCACAATCGCTCTGTCAAACAGTTTGTTAACTTGAGCCACATAAGTTACTGTATTAATCTAACGTTACGTGTGTGCGCGTTGTATAAGTAATGTTGTCTTTGTGTGATAGTTTAATGTTTCAGAGGTGTTTGTAACTTCTTCAAAAACATTGAGTCCACTGCCAACGCTGTCGAAGCTACGACAGACACACGTAGCCACAGCTAACGTTAGCTAAGTTAAGTGATTACTGATTATCATCGGTTGGAGATGAATGTTAATGTTCCAGTGCAGCAGTTACTTTGGCGAGTACACAATCCACACAATCTAACCAAAACCACATTGATGAGGGAGCAAACATTTGCAACTATGAGTGTGGGCACTGTTAGCTAATGTGGATTAGCACATAGCCTGAAATACACCCACACCGCCCGCGGTTAACACACCTCAACGGTGGTGCTCATTTCCATTCTAATTATGCTTTTACAAGAAAGAATGACTCTGGTAGATTAACAAAAATATCCTAGGTTAAATTTTGGCCAGCGTTACCCTTTAATTTGAACTGAATGAACCAGCATTTGGCAGGTAGTGGATTATTTATGCATTTATTTATTTTTCTTAATAAATGAGATTGTTTGTCTTAAATACTTTATCTTGTATCTCAAAAGGGGGCTGCAGAGACCACTGTTCATGAGGACCTAAAAATTAAGAACATGAGCATCTATGTCTGCCGTGAGCCAGATGCAGTAGGAATCATCATTGAGGGAATACCAGTCCTTGGCCACCTGGCCAAAGCATGCTGCTTCCTGCTTGGGTTGACATATGCACTTAATCTTGAGTATCCATCCAAGCTTTCCAAAACATTTGAGGTGTTTCAAAGACTTTTCGTGGGACTTGACACACTGCGCCCAAAACCAAGCCCCAAGTTCATGACCCTGAAAAACAAACTCCTTGCCTAGGCACTCAGACATGACTGTCACTGCACTTGTGAACAGCTGTTTTCTTTGTCTGTTCAACATCATTATACATTGGACATAATGGGTGTTATGTCCAATGTTATATTGGACATAATTGGACATTCAGGGTGTTGTAATGGTTTATCCTTGTCATGTTTTATACTGTACACAGGTCATACTTCCTGGTGTGAAAAAGTAATTATATTTTATACACACAAAATAGACCTGCTGTGAAGCTGCACTTTAAAAACTGGTCAGTAGGTGAGATCAGTGAGATGTTTGACTAAAGATGTTTCAAAATATTCACACACGCTGTGAAGGTAGGCCAAGTTGAGGTCAGATGGTCATGCTTGTGACCTGTAATGTTAGTGTTAAAATGTTTCAATATTATGTTCACACTGTACTGTTAAAAGGATAGTTCACTTCAAAATGAAAATTCTTAACTATCCTTTTAAGGTTTCTTACTAACCTACTATTTACAAGCTGAGGTGTTTTGTTTAATACATGAATACAGAAGTTCTTGATTGTTTATACTGTCCAGCTCATTATTTGGATATGGTATGTGAATTGTTAGAAAAATAGCAAGTGCCTGTTAACTTGATATTAAAATGTTTTAATATTATGTATGTACACACAGTAAAATATACTTTGAAGGTGTTCTTCTAACCTGCACTTTATAAGTTGAGGTCATGCTTTTTTTAATGCATGAATAGATGTTATTGATTGTTAACACTATCCTGCTCATTTTGAATTTGGTTTGTAAATTGTTACTTAATTTTAAAATTTTGTAACATTATGTACACAGAACTGTACTGTGAAGGTGTTCCACTAACCTGCACTTTATTTGCTGAGGGCATGTTTTCTTGAATGCCTGAATACCAATGTTTATACTGTCCAGCTCATTGCTACTGTTTTGGATATGGCAATGATTTAATAAATGTTGGAAATTGACATAGTAGCAACTATTTATTTGAAGCTATTTACACTTTCAAAACAAAGAAAGGGTAAATTGATCAAAATTAATAAATCAGAACATTATCTACTTATTTTTTTCATTTAAAAGTTACCTATTTTAATTAAGTTTAATGTGTATAAAATGATGATATTTTCTACATTGATAGTACTCAATTTATTGGCTTTTTCTGAAAATGCTACTTAATATTTTTGCATACATTGAAATTCACATTATTAAGTTGTCTTTACTCAAAATATCAGTTAGTTCACTAAACTTGAAAAAAATAGTTGGAAAATGTTGTCTTAATTTTATTGAGTTAGATCCAAGTAACAGTTTTAACAGTGTGGGAGAGCCAATTGCTTCATTTTTGAATATGTCAACAGATACCAAGCCTTCATCTGACATAATCATTATCCCAACAGCTCCATGTCGCCATGTTTCCCCCCAATGTCAAATAATGCCTCCGAGCCACTTAGCATTACCAAACCCTGTTGGATGCAGGCATGCAACCTCCACACAGTGTGACAAGTATGTGTGACATTAATGGCTTATGCTGTATAATAAATCATGAGTGACCTCACTGATTGCACCCTCTCCTCTGCTCTCATCTGCTTCCTAAATGTATCTGCATCTTGTTATCTGAAAGGAAACAGAAACACCTCAGATTATCAATAGTCAGATGTTTTAGTTCCTTGTGGTTCATACTGGTCAAGAGTTTTCGAGCTACATTAGCTGATTAATGATACTATAATAAAACCCCCTCTGAATGTCCTTTGAAATATGATTAAATCATTTGAATGAAACTCTTCTGTCATTATTATCAAAAATTAAAGCAATATTTTGACATTTTGGGAAATACACTTCTTTGCTTTCTTGTGGAGACAGAGCTTGATGAGAAGATCAATACCACCCTCACATTTGTCTGTAAATACAAATGCATAGCTTAGCATAAAGACTGGAAACAGAGGTAAACAGCTAGCTTAATCCTTATAAAAGCAAGTTTATGAGGGTTTATGTGCCAGACTATGCTTGGGCCGGGAGCAGTGACTTTCTGAAATCGTGTTGTTATCTTGAGGTTGTCAGTTAAGCTAACTGGCCTTAAATTTACTGGACAGATATGACAATGGTATTTATCTTGCCAGCTAACTTTCATCAAAAAAAGTAAGTAAGCTTATTTCACCTCCACTGTGTAATATCAATCATAATTCCCCTCTCACAGGGCCAAATTGCAGTGAAATTCAGTCACACTCCCAGAACATTATTAATTTCGTTGCAAAGTGATTGAGTTTGATTGCCTCATGCATCCATAATGCACTGGTCTCCATACAGGACCTGTCGCAAGTGGGCATCCTCGCCAACCAGTCCCAGGTTTTTCAACAAGAAAATACCAGTGGCTGTCCTGTCAAACTGACCTCAGGGAAATGTGATATAGTGATTTGAATAGTGAGCGTATAACACAATAGCTGATCCATATATAATCATACGTTGTGTCTGATCAGTACACATCATCATCACAAAGCGGA